AATAGGGAATGAGGTACTTGATCATTCAAGACAGACGATGGCATTCGATTTATTAGATACCCTGTAGTGAGGACAGCATCGCCCCACAACTTTGGGGGTGCATCGGCATTCAATAAAAGAGTACGAGCAGTGTCCACAATATGTCTATGTTTTCGCTCAGCTACACCATTTTGTTGAGGTGTATGAGAGCAACTAGATTGATGTAGAATGCCATGAGAAGCCATAAATGATTTGAAGCAATTTGCAAAATATTCTTTAGCATTATCGCTTCGTAAAATCCAAATTACTTTGCCAAATTGAGTTTTGATCTCCGAATAGAAACTTAGGAAAATATTGAATAACTCAGAAAGATTTTTTATTAAAAATATCCAAGTACATCTAGAAAAATCATCAATACAGGTAACGATGCTCAATTTCTTTATTGCCTCAACTTGAATGACTATCAAGTTAAAATAATTGTAAAATAACTCTCAACAAATTAACAATAACATTGCCTCAAAATTCAAAAGGATTAAATAAAATATATAACTAAACTGATGATATTGATACAAACTTAAAAATTAAAATAATGGTAGATAGTTAAATTTAAAAATTTATTTGATGATTTCTTAATTTTGTGGATCAACATCACCATATTTTCTTAATTTAATGATAAAAATAGATGTTTACTCATTTTATTTATTTTTACTTATTATTAAGATTAATAATACACATTTAATTTGTTTGACATTCAAGATTTTTACAAAAATATTAAGTAATATAATTAATATTTTTAAATTTTATAAAATTATTATATAATTTTCTAATATATATTTTATTTTTCATATTAATAAGATTCGTTCTCATTTATACTTTTTTATGCCATTATGAGTAAAACATATTTATTTAAGGAGATCTTTTAACATTAGAAATGAAATTTCTCTAATTATGTTAACCTTACCTTCGGTAAGTAAAATTTCACGTCAAATTAAGTATTACTAAATTTTAATTAATCACTAAATCTTGAGTTAAGAATTCTAACATATCATTAGTTTATCCGATAGTTTTGAGGGTGTCATTCTCAATTTATCATTTTAATTGAAAAAATGCATTTAATACTTCATTAATATGTTTAAATAAAAATAAAAATTAAATAAAAAATTATTGAAATGTCAAATTAAATGAAACTTAGAGTATATGACCACCTTATCGCAGTTCACACCTACAAAATTATTACATGACATAAGATAATCTCCTTTTTAAATATAATCAATATTTAATATTTTTATAAATGAAAATATAATTTATATCACGTGGAAATGGATGAATATCATATTCACATATTCCAGAAGCATTTAATAATTTCTGGTCTTGTTCATTATGGTCTGTACTCATAATTTTCTAATCATTAAGGGTATGTTTAAAAAGAGGCAAGTTGTAGAGAAGGAAGAGAAAGTGTAGGAGAAGTGAAAAAAAGTTTTAAAAAAATGGAGTGTGTTTGATATTAGGGAAGAGGGAAGTATTTTGAGATGAGTTCCATTGAGTAAAACTTCTTTAAAATGAGGGGAAGAGTGAGGAATTTTACTTTTTGAATAAATAAGGATCAGTTATGTATAATATATGAATTATAATATTAAAAATAAATTTTATTTATTATTTTTAAATAATTTTTTCATAAAAATTAAACTTTCAACGCCACTACCAACAATAATAATAAATAAATTGTTTTTAAGTAAAATTACTTTTTTATTTATTATTTATAGATAAAATTATTAATAAAAACAATTTTTTATTTTATTATTCATCTATTTCTTTTTTATTAAATAATATTTATTTTTATTCTATTTCTTACTTATTTCTCTACATTTCTTCACATTTCTCTCCTTTTCTCTTTTTTTTTTCTTTAGTTCTTTCCACTTTATCAAACAGAGAATAAATGAACTAAAATTTGTGGAAAGGCAACGCATCCGGACGGCTCATCAATATTCGTAAATGTTTACTAAATTATTAAAAAAAAAAAAGTCATACAATATAATTTACAACAACACTTTTTTATTTTATTGTTTTGCTGAATAAGGAACATTATTTTTTTTCTTCAAATACGTAGCTAGAAAAGAATGGGAAAGGGTGTGTGGGGAGCACAGTGGGGACAGAAGGGGAGAGTTGCATAAAATAAATACTGCAAATTTTCATATTACTTCTTTTAAAAGTCATCCACTAATCTCAAGCGTGTAGTTCAGCAGTAGGGGTTGATCCACGCTTAAGCAAGGTCAGGGGTTTGAATCTTGCCTTGTGTACGCAGCCGCGTTAAATCTTGGGACCAGCTATCCCACCCTTTGAAGTGTCTCCAACGTAGCGAGGAGATTAGTCACTGCTGTCGGCGGTGGATACTCCAGGAACGAACAAAAAAAAAAGTCATCCACTATACTTATTTAATGAGTCATACATTATAAACATTTTAACGAGTCAAATGTGATATTCTCATCAATTTAACTGTTGCCATAAATAAATTAAATTTATTATATTACTATGTTTATTTTTTTTTTAATATACTTATTGTTTTAAAGTGAAATTTGTGAATAATTATTAAAAATTTTAACAAAATAATTTTGAATATATATATATAAAAATCTATTGTTGAATACATATAAGTGAAGAAAGAATTTGAGTTAGGTTCTTGCCTTCCTGGAGTGAAAAAAATAGAAGAAAATAAAAAGTTCTTAAATTCTACTCAATAGACTTACAAAAATTACATCAGGAACTCAAAATTGAAGATAAATTAAAAGTGTGTTTGTTTTGTGGTTAAAAATTTGAAAACTTACATTAAACGAGAAAGATAGAAAACCTTACTTTGTATTTTAGTGCTTTGAAAAGAATTATTTTATGTTTTCGTTAAAAAAATGGATTTCCAAACACGTTCTAAATAATTTTGGATAAATTATACCGTAATTTTTTTATCTTTATTTTGTTCAGGAAATACTTTATCATTATTTTTTTATTGTACAATTTGACAGTTTATTGCGTTGTATATTCCTCAGTCGTGACTCATTACCGACTGGTCCGACTCTAGAATCAGTACACAGGACGACACACTTTAATTATACAAGGGAAACAAGAACCATGAGCATATTATGAGACTTTCACTTCATTCATGTTGCAAAATGGATTACATGATCTAAAGAATTGTCTATGAAAACACCAAGATTTACAACACAAAAAGAAAAGAAAAGGTATCTCAATTACCAGCCCCTATGAACACTTTGGGAGGATTGAGCAAGAACTATAAAGAATCTTAATGCCCTCAGAAAAGTAATATGATTGTTACCAAGGTTTAAGGTCACCAACAGGTCCAGCAGTCCAGTTCAAGATCTTCTCCCCTGGCTTCAAGAACACAGTGCTGCCATGTGGCAACTTCCGTGCGAGTCCATTTAAAACTTGATGGAACGCGTCACCCGGTTGAGCAGGTTGTGGGAACAGCATTGCTTGCTTCATGGAAGGGTTGGCAAGCAATCTCTGCTTCCTTAATATGACATCTGGTGGAATAGATGTGAGTATGGTATCCAGCTTAGGAACATCCTCCTCATCAACAAACACACCTATATCTTCCCATGGGATTGCATCAGCAAATGGCAGAACAATGTCATCTGCAATAATAACAGGGATACAGCCAAATATCACAGCCTCTACCAATCTTGGGCTCCAAGGGGCCCATCCAAGTGGGCATAGACAAAACACAGCCCGTTGCATGTCCTCGTAGTATGTGGTTGGATGTTCAGTGGAGATGTCAAATAGGGGATTGTCCTTAAAGTTCTCCCACACTGCTGCCCTTGCACCTCTGTGAGATTGCAAAACATGGTCAGTTTGATCAATTGGGATTATTTGTTGGTCTAAGTTTTTGTTATGAAAGCATCATGGCATGCACCAAACTTCATGCATACTTGATTTCCAATAAGAATTTTAGAAGGCACCAATTTTAGGTCATGAAAATTGAAAAATTTAATCTCAATATGCTTGACATGTTTTGATAGTTACACAAGATACAGTAATTATATAAATAGAAGTTATCTTTTATTGCATTTTTAAAAGTCAACTTTCTGGTGCAGATATATGATGAGCTTGGATAAACTTCTCTAAAAACACTTAGAGGAGAATAAAATAGGAAGGAAAAATGAAATTGGTTTTTTCATAAACTAAAATTAACTTATATATAAACTAATTTGTAGAAATTATCTCATATTAACTTCTCCAGTATCTTTTTTAACTTGTGTAAAATGCCACACACTCAGACTGGCTCCTTTAAACTTGTAATAACACCTACCTTGCATAGTAACCACCTTCAGGGTCATTGCCAACATCATAAAAGAGTCCTCGGAAGTATACAAAAATGGACCTGGGAGTCTTGTCAGGAATTAGGTGGGTATGCATTTTCTGTGGTGGAGCATATGGAGGAATGGTAATTGAACCCTCTTTCAAGCACACGTGATTCCTCTGTCCAAATGTTTGAACCAATGTAGCACGCCAAAGCAGTTGAAGAATCCCTCTTTCAATTGCCTTCTCTTCCTGGAACAAAATAATACAATGAAAGTGCATGTCATGTGATCTATGTGTGGCATTAATATTGGAACAGGAGTAACTTCTCAAGACAGCATATAATTGGTTCAAATACTTAAGTTACAATGAAAACTTAACATCATATACTAAATATTACACCTGGTAATGGAAACATGCCCCAAAGTCATGAGGAACTACAAAGAAGTGATCTGCCCCCTCTGTCCGGTTCCAATAAGGCCAGTTTGAAGAAATAAGCTGTATGGCACTTCTCATCATTCGTGGGGACTTAAAAGGTAAAGGGAGGCCATTTGGTGTCAAGTCACAAGTGGTGTATACAGGGGTATAAAACCAATCAGCTTCTTCAGGATTAAGGGTTCGGACAGGGCTAGACAAGAGAAACCGGTGCATAAAGATTTCAGCAGCAAACATATGGTTGAGACATCTTGGGTCTTTCTGCAAAATTTTCTTATTATATTTACTTGGAAGTTCATAAACAAAAACCTTCAATCTTCCCACTGGATCATCTTCCAATACATCACCAGCGCTACCTGCAATTAGTTCAACCACAATATGCTTAGAACCTCACACAGGATTTAAAAAGTATAGTTGAATACAGTGTATCTCCAGACATAGAGTTGCCTAATAATGCAAGTCATTGAGAAATAGTACACAAAAGACAAAACTGCTTATAAACACCTTAAAAAATCTCAAGGGGGCATGGATATGCATTGGTTTGAATATATCTTCCTTTACCTAATGCCCATTTCAGCTACTTCCCCAGCAAATTGAAATCGAAACTCGAATTTTCAAAATCTATATACCACTGTAGTCAGATGATATTAATGTCTTCATAACATTTAAACATATGTACTGTTAGGAGCAGCGTTCATATTTTGGTTACACTTTTCCCCCGATCTGGCTTTATAAGGTTCAAAAAGTAAGGTGTTACAAAAGAAAAGGTATTTAGCAGATTGAAGAGTTCATATTTAGATTCCACTATCAAAATTGAAACTTAGAACTCAGAAGCCAGCAGGAAAGCACCGAGATCCAGCAAGAAAATCTTGAAGTGTGTCTTACTATACATTGTATTCACGCCTAATAGACCTTTGGATGTATCAGATTACCAATCTAAAGAAATAAGAGCCTATAGACACAAGATTAGCAATCTACAATGTTCTAGTGTGACTGTGTGAGCAAGTCCAACGGGGGGAGTGTGGCAAACTAATACGTCTCAGATACTCTAATTAATTTTCATATGTTCAACGAAAATCAAGCACAATCTATTAATTATCTTCTAAGGCGTCATTTTGCATGCATTATTATTAAGGTTCACAGCCTATGAAGTCATTCATGTTCCAAGCTCTTACCCTTATCACAAGCATTGGACCCAAGGAAGCATCTCAAAAAGCAACAAACAAAAAACAAAGCTCCCAAATTCCAGTATTAGTAGCATCTATAACTACAAGGCTTAGAACTTAAAAATTTGGATCTTGAGCAAAACCACCAATGTTCAATCCTGAAGAACCAATGCTTTGTGGTTGAAATAATAACATCACAAGCAAAACAAGTACAAATATCCTAATCAACCTCAATCCAAAGCAGATCTTAATCAAGCTCAAACACAAAGACACAACACTGAAGATCGAAACACAAAGCGGTTAGACCAACACCTCACCTAACCGGAAACAAATCGATCACAATCAAAAGATTCAAAACCCCAAATCAACAAGGACAAGGCAAGCAAAGAGAGAAGCTAAAAAACTAAAATCAACGACAACAAACAAAAAGGCACCTGAAATTCTTTCAGTGGGTTGACTCCTGCCCAGCTCCACAGCACCAATTGCAAAGAGAAAATCAGCGCAAAGAAGCCCCAAAAAGCCCCATTTCCACATGCCCATTTTCGCTCCCCCAAAAAAGAAACGATTTTTCATTGAAGGAACCTCAATGATCGG